TCTTTAGAACAATTTGGGTTGTCGGTGCTGTCGAGTATTTTCTTTCTTTCTTAGTTTTCTCCTAAACAGGAGATGCTCAGCATCACCCACGTCATTGTTATGATGGCATATGGAGCCTAAGTCCTTTTGGCTTGACCTTCAGCTAGGTCACTTGGGTTGAAAGCAGAACCCTCTGTGCGGAGCGGGTGCAGATGTCTCCATGGCAAAGGGAGCCCCCTGCCCCCCAGACCTCTGTGCTTCATGCTTAACAAGGACTTTACAGTCCTTGGAGCCAGTCAGTAACATCCAGGTTCTCAGTGGGTCCTAATACTTCCTTGTTGAACAGCAACTGGGCTCCCAGGTTCTATTCTCTGCCACTGACCTGTCGCAGCTTCTCGTCCCAGTGTCTGCCTTACTGGGTGCCTCTGTAAAAGGAAACGGTGACTCTTGCCCTTGAGGAGGATGGCTCGCTTGGTCCTCTTCTAGCTGGAAGTTTGTTCCTCCCTCATCCTTTTCTACTGGAGCTCCTTATTCCATCACGACTCCTGTGAGTCAGCCACAGTTACTCCGGAGAGCTGTGGTCAGGGACAGAGGTGATCACTTGCCAATGCACACAAAGGCAACACACAAAAGCAAACTGAGCCTAAGGTTTAGGTCCAAATCTGATGCTCCTCTCTCTTCCTGTTCACCTCAGAGGCAGTCTTTTGTCCCCTCCGTCTGGGAGAGGGAGGGATCCAAAGCTACTCTTTATCACCTTGGCTAATGCAGAGGCAGGAGCAGAGCAATGCTTCTCCCAGGAAACCTACTGCTGAAAGAGCTGACGGACTCTGACGGACAGATCCCTGCCCTTTGATGCTGGCTGAAAGGAAAGATCCCTGTATCCTCAGCAGGAAGGAGCCAGGCTCCCCCTCTCCCCCACTGATCTATTAAATCCACAAAACCTCAGAGGGCAGCAGTGCCACCATTAACGTTGGAATTGCCAGCCTGGTGCCTAACGTAAATGAAAGCCCATTGCCTGAGTGTGAACCCAGCCTGCCTCTTGTGCAGTCTGATCAGAATCCCTCCTCCCAGCTAGCCGCGGCCTCGTGCCCTGTACGAGCACAGGACACGTCATCCCGAGCCCTCGTGAGGAAGGTGGTTACAGGACAGAAGCCCCTGCAGCAAGTTGGGCACGGGCTCGTTGCTCCTCCTGATGCCACGGTGCCCTTTTGCACTGGTTTTAGGCTTGTTCCCTTTGTACAGCACATTCCTCATGGAGCTGCTTGAGGAGATGGCTCTGGCTTCACTGGGCCCGGCAGCCTGAAGCCATCACCCTCCGGGTGTGGAGATCAGGCAAAGCCCTAAAAGGTTGAGAAAAGCCTGGTACGGAGCTGCCTGCAAAGCTCCCATTTGTCCTCATGCTGAGGACCCCAGTGCTGCAAGTGGGGTCCCACCGAGCAGAGCAGCAGGAGCACTGCCCTTGACGTTGGCTTTCGGGGCTGTGAGCATGGCCTCGGATCCTAACTTCTCCATCTCCTTCTGGAACCCTTAGCACGGATCCAAACGTTCCCCCAGTCGGAGGGAAGGCCTCCAGTGTGGAGCAACGGATGAGGAACTCCTGAGCCTTTCATGCTAAAAACGTCCCAAACCATGTCACTGTATCATTGTCAGCGCTGTACGCTATGGTTTTGAATTGAAGCTCTGTGGCTTTGGCTGCCCTACAAGCCCAGCAAACCCGGGCTGTACATTCCGAGTTCACAGTCTCAATAAGCAGCCAGGTAAAGAGCAGGCGTTATTCCCATGTTATTGGCAGGGAAATAAGCCTGAAGATGAGAGGACCGGCCCAAGGAGTCTCTAGCAAGGGTGAGGTCTCAGCCTGGACCTCTAAAGTCCCTGTCCAATACTTCCGGTCATCCACTCACTTGCTTTTTAAGTACCCTGGGAGGAAGATGCTGCTGCTCCTGCAGCACTGCGTGATCCAGCCTGGCTGAAAGGGGCTCTGAAAGGGCAGCTGCAGACACAATGAACCCTCCTGCCACACAACCCGGCAGCCCTGTCGCAGCGGCTCATGCTTTAGTTGCTCTTCCCTCTGGCGGGGATTCCATTCCCCTCTATACCCTGGGAATACCGCCCGAGGCTTTATCTGCATCACCCTGCCCGGGAGCCTCCGGGGCTTGTGGGGGATACTGCGCAGATGAGGGATGTGAGTCCCGGCCCTGCAGGGAGAGGCTGCTCTGGCTCCTCCTCGTGCTCTTCGCTCTCTCATTGCTCTTTACCCATGGAAAAAGCCATTTTCCTCGCCTGCGTTTCTACCCTGTGATGGTTCTGAGAGCCCAGCCGAGAGCGCGGGCAGGCTCTGGAGTAAACTGGGACCTAAAAACCCTCCCTGGTGTTCCGGTGAATTCCATCCGCGTTCTACGGAGGGGAAATTCATAGGAAGCTTTCGTTAACAGATACCTCACTAAGAGTGCGAGTGCATCTCATCACCATGGCAACACCAGCGAGCCAGCAGGGAGGGGAGATGTCGCCGTGCATCCACCTGAGCAGCCCGAGTGCTGCGGGTTCACAAGCAGGGACGGAGACACAGCCCCCCGTGCACACCAACAGGCACAGGTTAAACCGGACCACGTCTGCCCCAGCTCATTGCCGGCAGCTCTTTACTTGGAACCCCAGGATCCCAGCCTGGTTTGGGTTGAAAAGGCCTCAAAGCTCATCCAGCTCCAACCCCTGCCAGGCCCTGGTCTAAAGCCCCTCTCCAGGTTTCCTGCAGCCCCTTCAGGCACTGGAGCTGCTCTCAGGTCTCCCCTTCAGGAGCCTTCTCTTCTCCAGGCTGCCCCAGCCCAGCTCTCTCAGCCTGGCTCCAGAGCAGAGCTGCTCCAGCCCTCGCAGCATCTCCATGGCCTCCTCTGGCCTCGCTCCAGCAGCTCCACGTCCCTCTTGTGTTGCTGCCCCAGAGCTGGGTCAGGGCTGCGGGGGGTTCTCCCCAGAGCGCAGCAGAGGGGCAGGATCCCCTCCCTGAGCTCCTGCTCTGGGGTGCTCCCAGCACACGGAGGGGTCTGGGCTGGGTCACGGGGAGCTTCCCCTCAGGCTGCTCCATCCTGTACCCCCCAGCCTGTGGCTGTGCTGGGACTGCCCTAACACACGGGCTGGACCTGGCCCCTGTTCACCTCCATGAGGTTCCCATGGTCCCACCTCTCCGCCTGTCCAGGTTCCTCCGGATCCCATCCCTTCCCTGCAGCATCACCGCACCGCTCGGTGCCATCAGCTGAAGAGAACACAGCTGTTGTCTTGTGACCGTGTGCGTGAATTCACACACCCGTGTGCACATCCGTGTGTGTGTATTCACACATCCGTGTGCGTGCATTCACACACCCGTGTGCACATCCGTGTGTGTGTATTCACACATCCGTGTGTGTGCATTCACACACCCGTGTGCACATCTGTGTGCGTGCATTCACACATCCGTGTGCGTGCATTCACACATCCGTGTGCACATCCATGTGCGTGCATTCACACATCCGTGTGCGTGCATTCACACACCCGTGTGCACATCTGTGTGCGTGCATTCACACATCCGTGTGCGTGCATTCACACATCCATGTGCACATCCATGTGCGTGCATTCACACATCCGTGTGTGCATTCACACATCTGTGTGCGTGCATTCACGCATCCGTGTGCACATCCGTGTGTGTGCATTCACACATCCGTGTGCGTGCATTCACACATCCGTGTGCACATCCATGTGCGTGCATTCACACATCCGTGTGTGCATTCACACATCTGTGTGCGTGCATTCACACACCCGTGTGCACATCCGTGTGTGTGCATTCACACATCCGTGTGCGTGCATTCACACACCCGTGTGCACATCCGTGTGTGTGCATTCACACATCCGTGTGTGTGCATTCACACATCCCTGTGCGTGCATTCACACATCCCTGTGCGTGCATTCACACATCCATGTGCGTGCATTCACACATCCATGTGTGTGCATTCACACATCCCTGTGCGTGCATTCACACATCCATGTGCGTGCATTCACACATCTGTGTGCACATCCCTGTGCGTGCATTCACACATCCGTGTGCGTGCATTCACACATCCCTGTGCGTGCATTCACACATCCATGTGCGTGCATTCACACATCCGTGTGCACATCCCTGTGCGTGCATTCACACATCCATGTGCGTGCATTCACACATCCATGTGCGGAGGGGATATGGGGCTGCTCCCACGCACTGCAGCACACAGGAAACCACGCTCACACCGCACGGACACACCAGAGGTGCTCCTTTCCCCGCATGGACCTGCTGCATCCCTGCGCACACCGCACACCTCCGCGCAGCTTGCGTGGAACTCTGCCATGGACATCGCGGCTCTCGGGAGCTGCTCCTGGACTTCAGCAGCTGCTGACGGGAAAACGAGTCCGTGATGCAGAAAGCAGTTTCTTAGCAACAGAAATGCTATTCCATGTCAAGGCAACACGCGTTAGCAGGATAATCCAAGGTAATTCCAGACAGGACCTAAACGGGTGAACGCACTGAATAATGATAATGACAGACGGGATAATAATAACGGGAATAACCGGGCTGGCCTTGTTTTCCTGGAACGGGGAAGAGAACACCTATAAATAGAGCCCAGCAGGAGGAACGCGGCGCCCGGGCCCCACGGAAAGCTTGGAACCGCTTCAGTCCCGTTCCTACCCTGCCCACGGGCCCTGGAGGCCGCAGCCCGGCCCGGCCCGGCCGCGCACTGCAGGGGCAGGGGCAGGGGCAGGGGCAGCCCGGGCCCCCGCTACCCCCGCCCCGGGACTACACTTCCCATGGTGCCCCGCGCGGCCCCGCGGCACCTCCCCGCCCACCGGCCCCGCCTCCTCCCCGCTGCATGCCGGGAAGCTGAGTTCCGGGGGGGCGGCGCCTGCGGAGCCGCGCGGGGCGCGGGACTCCATTTCCCATCATCCTCCTCCCGCCCCGCCCCTGCCCGGGCGGGCGCCATTTTGTTTCAGGCTCCAAACCTAAGATGGCGGCCGGGCGGAGGGAACGGGGTTTGCTGCGCTGAGGTGAGCGGGGTCCGGCCGGGCGCCCCCGGCCCCGCGGGGCTCCTTCCCGCCCCCCCCGAGGCCCGCCCGCCGCCGTCCCTCGCCCCGGGCCGAGCCGTGGGCGCGGAGGAGCCGCTGGTCCATGGCCAGGAGGTGCCCGGTGCGGTCGCCGCGGCCCCCGTCGCCATGGACCTGCGCACGGCTGTGTACAACGCGGCCCGCGATGGGAAGCTGAAGCTGCTGCAGAAGCTGCTGGGCAGCCGGAGCCGGGAGGAGCTGGAGGCGCTGACGGCAGGGCCGGGCGGCGGCGATGGCCCCGGCGGAGGGAGCACCCCGCTGCTGATCGCCGCCCGGCACGGGCACCTGGAGGTGGTGGAGTATCTGCTGGATCACTGCGGAGCCCGCGTGGAGGAGGGCGGATCCGTCAACTTCGACGGGGAGACCATCGAGGGGGCCCCGCCGCTGTGGGCAGCGTCTGCCGCCGGGCACCTGGGGGTGGTGCGCAGCCTCCTGGATCACGGGGCCTCGGTGAACCAGACCACGCTGACCAACTCCACGCCGCTGCGGGCCGCCTGCTTCGATGGGCACCTGGAGATCGTGCGTTACTTGGTCGGGGAGCGCGGGGCAGACCTGGAAGTAGCCAACCGGCACGGACACACGTGTTTGATGATCTCCTGCTACAAAGGGCACCGGGAGATTGCACGTTACTTGTTAGAGAAAGGGGCTGATGTCAACCGCCGGAGTGTGAAGGGGAACACAGCCCTGCATGACTGCGCTGAGTCCGGCAGCCTGGAGATCCTGCAGCTCCTGCTCCGCTCCAAAGCCCGCATGGAGAAGGATGGCTATGGCATGACTCCTCTGCTGGCTGCCAGCGTCACCGGGCACACCAACATTGTGGAGTACCTCATCCAAGGGGGGCTGCAGCAGGAGGAGGAGGAGGTTGCAGGGAGCCAAAACGGGACCTGTGCCTCAGGTGGGAGCCATCAGAGGTGCTGTGGCGCTGGCAAGCAGGCTCCTCAGGGCAGTGATGAAGAGGCGTGTGAGAGATGTTGTGCCTCAGCTTCCAGCCAGGATGAGCAGCAGGTCCCTAACGTGTTCTGCACTCGAGAGGCTGCTGTGGAAGCGCTGGAGTTGCTGGGTGCCACGTTTGTGGATAAGAAACGAGACCTTTTGGGAGCCCACAAGTACTGGCGAAGGGCGATGGAGCTTCGGTGCGAGGGGGGACAATACCTGCCTAAACCTGAGCCCCGGCAGCTGGTGCTGGCCTATGACTATTCCCGGGAAGTGAGTTCGCTGGAGGAGCTGGAAGCCTTGATCACTGATCCGGATGAGATGCGCATGCAGGCGCTGCTGATCAGAGAGCGCATCCTGGGGCCTTCCCACCCGGACACTTCCTATTACATCCGTTACCGAGGAGCCGTCTACGCTGACTCCGGCAACTTTGAGCGCTGCATTAACCTGTGGAAGTACGCCCTGGACATGCAGCAAGGCAACCTGGAGCCTCTCAGCCCCATGACTGCCAGCAGCTTCCTTTCCTTTGCTGAGCTTTTCTCTTATGTGCTTCAGGACCGCTCCAAAGGCACTTTAGCAACTCACCTGGGCTTCTCAGACCTCATGGGAGTACTGAGCAAAGGGGTCCGGGAGGTGGAGAGAGCTCTTGTGCATGGCAAGGACCCTGTAGTTGACTCAGCACAGTTCACCAAGACGCTGGCCATTATCCTGCACCTGGTCTTCTTGCTGGAGAAGGTGGAGTGCACCCCGGAGCAGGAGCACCAGAAGCGCCAGGCCATCTACCGCCTGCTCAAGTGCAGCCCCCGGGCCAAGAACGGCTTCACTCCCTTGCATATGGCTGTGGACAAAGATACCACAACAGTGGGACGTTATCCCGTGGGCAAATTCCCATCGCTCCACGTTGTGAACTTGCTGCTGGAGTGTGGGGCTGACCCGGACAGCCGTGACTACGACAACAACACCCCGCTGCACATTGCCGCCCGCAACAACTGCCCGCTCATCATGAGTGCCCTGATGGAGGCTGGAGCCCATATGGATGCCACCAATGCCTTCAAGCAGACTGCTTATGAGCTGCTGGATGAGAAGCTGCTCACCAAGAGCATGATGCAGCCCTTCAATTACATCACCCTCCAGTGCCTTGCTGCTCGCGCCCTGGACAAGCACAAGATTCCCTACAAGGGTTTCATCCCCGAGGAGCTGGAAGCCTTCATTGAACTGCATTAGGGTGGGAGAGCTGAAGCCTCCAGCCTCTCCCGTCGCTTCTTCCACCCCACAGAGGTCGTGCAGCCTGGGATCTTGGCCCATCCTTGCCTAGATGCTGAAGGCTGTTGCTGTGCTGAGATGGGATGTGAGCTTCGTCCTCATCTGTCACCATGAAGCTGGCGTGTGCAGGACTAGGGGAAGAGGAGGCTCGAGAGCCCATGGCTGCCCCTCAGTGTTGTCACCTTCAGGTACCAGACAGCTCCAGTGCACTGTATCCAGAGAAGGCTGCGGCCCCTGCCCTTTCCCATGCCAACCGTCTTGCCCTGAAAAGGATGGACCATGGAGATCCCCTGGGACCTGCTGCCTCTCCCCTAAGTGCTGGATTAACTGAGCATTAAGCTTTGGAGCAGCTACACCTCACACATGTGATCTAGTGCTTCCCATCCCACATACCGAGCAGATAGGAATGCAAGTGAGGAATAAAGCATCTTCCAACTAATTCTTTCCCCCCCCTTTCTCAGATTTGGGACAGTGCGAGTGGAAGAGCCGGGTGCCTTGTGCTCTGCTGAGGTAGTTGCCTTGCCTGGCAGTAGGGCTGGGTATGCTGAGGATGGTTTTTGTTTCTCCCTTGGTTGGCCAGGTAGCAAGTGGTGGTAAAGGCCTGAGATTTCAATGATTGTGCATAAAGCTGGGTTATTTTTTCTCTTTTAGAGCCAGGCCCTATCTATGCTGCAAGACTTCTTCAGTCCCGTAAGATATAGTAAGGTCAGTTCTGGTTATATAGTTTCATCAATAGATGTTGGGTTTTATGAATGGGGAGGGAAAACTGCTACCTTCAACCCAAAACATTAATGTGGTATTTAGGCTCTTAGCTTGCCCATTCTTCCAGCGTCCACTCCCTTCCCTGCACCAGGGCCCTTTAGCTCCAAGGGATCGAGGTGGATATGGCCAGGTTGCAGAGCCAAACCAGTGCACTTTGAGCCATCTCTGAGGATGGGCTTTGGCAAACCCTCCAGGGTGGGAGGTACCTGTGGTGGGCTGGTGCTTGCACGGTTGGTAAAGCAGGTGAGTGTTGGTGGCACGTTTGTATGGGGGGGTGGGGGGTCTGAAGGGAGAAGCAAGCAAGAAATGAAAGTTAAAGGTGCCTCCTTGTTCTGCTGAGATCTGTTGGTATCAATCAGTTGGGCTCTTCATTATCCCCCTCTGGAATATCCCTCCCTGGAGTGGGTTGTTAGCTTCTGCTTTTGGCTTGTGATTCTTTTTGCAACTTCCCGGAGGATGGTGCTACTTCAGCGATTGAATTGGGAATCTCCCTTGGCTACTGGTGGGGCAAACTCCCTGGGTTAGGGCCTGCACACAGGTGGTGTTTGCCTCCCTTAGCAGAGCCCTCCTTGCTGGTAAGCACTCGGTGTTGGTGAACATGATGCTGCTGCCGCAGTTGATCTTGCAGGGGGAGGGACTGGGCTTGGGCAGCCTTGGCTCAGTGCTTGGCCCTGGGCAGGCTGGAAAACACAGGTGGGGGTGAAGCAGCTGCCTCTGAGCTCTGGGAAAGGTCAAGAACTGGGAGAGCAGCACCCTGGCAACCAACCATGCACTAGATGCTACTGAAGCTTCTCTACTTGTATTTATAAGCCAGCGTATCCACATGCCTCAATAACCCAACGCTCTGCCCCTTCGAGCTGTTGTAGATCTGCCGTTCCAGTTTTGCAGTGTTAGCTATAACATGTATTTATAAAGCTCGGAGGTTTCACTTGTCTGGAGCTGTAAAGTGCAGAGTTAGTTGAGCTGCCTTCTAGTTTCCTTTTGGCTGAAACCTGAACTCAACTGCAGGAATGGAAATTGTTCATTTGTGAGCTGATGAGCGCCCTTAACTTTAAATAATAAACCAACAAATGGCTGCTAGAATGCAAGTGCCTTGGAGTTCTTGGTGGGGAGCCTCCCTTTTCACCTTGTGTCCTGAGGATGCTACACTTGTGGCTGTGGAAATACTGGGTGTGTGCAGTCAACAGACATGGTTGGTTTGTGTCACCCTCCTGGGAGAAGCCGAGCTGTACTGCAATTGCAAACCTCTCTCCTGGCAAAGGTGCTGGAGTTAGTTCCACACAAGGATTTGCATTTCCAGAACTCAGTCGTGTGTAAGAGCCTCATGGAGGCGAGAATACTTTGTGTGATGGAAAATGGCATTTTGTTCTCTTTAACACAGACAGAATGTGTAATGACATAGTGAGGACCCAGCAATACAGTGCTGATGGTGGGAGAAATCCCTGCATGAATTCAGGAGTAATTACAGTGAACAGTCCATACTTATTATGGGTGTTGTCTGGGCCAGCTCCAGTGCATGGGGCAAACCAGAGGGTTGTGGGGAGCAGGGAAACATTCTGGGGGTGGTTTTAGCTGAGTAACTCTTGGGCAGAGAGTGGAGGGTGGTTTTGCACTGGGGTGGCTGCACGCCCTCCTGTAGCACACCAGGAGCCCTTCCATCCACTGCCATGAGCAAACCATCTGCTTTTTCCTCCTTTCTTAAAACCTCCGATGTGCTTTTTCCCTCTTGGATCCTGGTGATTGTCCCTCTGGAGAATAAAGCCTCTCATTCGTGCAGATTTCTTTAGGAATGCCAAAGTGGTGAGGAATTCACTGGGCTTTTCCTGCGGGCAGTTGCTGGTGCTCTTCCGTGGATGTCTTTGGAGCCTCCTAATGCCGTAAGCTCACTGTTGACAAAGTGGCCTAGAGGCCAAAGCTGGAGGTGCCATGCCAGCACTTCCCATTTCCCAGAGAAACCGGGGAAGAACGAGGGGGTCCACAGGCCCACGTGCACTCTCCTGGTGAACACAAGGCCCTGGTGCCAAAGCTCCCTTCCAGGGTGAGCAACGGCAAAGAGGGCCCTGAAAACGGGGGAAGAGTGAACCTGCTGCTGCGGTTAAACCAGGGCTGCGGCTCCTCAGTGGAGTTTGCTCCCAACAACCTTTGGTCTTGTTGAGCTCCACACACACTAAAATCCCCCAACCCTGCAGTACCCCAAGCCTGTCTCCACTCCAAGCAGACTGGATGTGGCTCTGTTGAGGTTGTTTACAAGCTGGAACAGCTTCCAGATGCCTGCTTTTGCATGAGGCTGTATTTATAGAAAGCTGAGGAGCTGGGAAGGAGTGATGGGTATGTCTTCATGGCTTCTCCCCAGGGGAGGAGCGCAGCAACTGCAGTGTGACAGGAGTGCGGTAACACAACACCTAGAGAACAGGGGTGACGTAGAGGAGGCTAAATAGGGATGGAGAAAGAATCCAGGCACTTGGAGGACTCCAGCAGGCTCTCTATAAAGAGTAAATGGGTTAATCCATTGTCACTGGGTCCTTCCAAGTTCAAAGCTGAACTGTTTCAAAGCTGGAAGCCAACAACCGATGGCAGGTTTTAAATAGCAATATTGTATTCGTGGCGTTCTTGTTCTGCTCAGGACAGAGCGGGCTTTGATTTGTCCAAGCCTGGGCTTTTGTTCTCGCCCAGGGACGTCCAGGAGTTCAGCCTCCTTGAGGGAAGCCGAGAAACCTGTGGACAGACCCATGAGGAAGGACCTGTGGCCTCTTTAAGAGGAAATGCTGGGGGATTGAAACCCAGACTTGCCAGCTACTTCCCTGTTGCAGTTTAAGAGCAGGGACAACCAGCTCTGAGCTCCTCCATCTGGCGGTGCCCAGGAGCTTGCACTCAGGTTTGCTCGGTGCCTGGGCTTCTCCCCCATCACCCTGCAGGCACCCTCAGCCCCTTCTGAGGGGCACAAGGTACTGGAAGGCACCAAGGCAGCAATTGCAGCTCTCCCCAGAGCGGGTGGAGGGGACTGGCCCCTTACAGTTACTTGCTCTCCTCTGAGGAGCCAGGGCTCCCCTTCTGTTCTCTCCTCCCATGTCTTGGGAGCTGTATTCAGGAGGCTGCTACTCGCTTGCTGTAGGAGCCCTGTGCTTTGGCTGCCAGACCATGGTGGCTCCTCTCCATCTGAACCCACCTGGGACAGGCTTTCAGAGTGACCTGCATGGAGTCACCTCCCTGTATCCATCACGCTGGCCTTTGAGGTGTCCCCCCTGGGGAAGGACTTGGTCCTTCCTGCCAGGGTGAGCTGACTCCAGAGCTCTTCCAGTGGTGGCTTGGGGCTGACCTCTACTGACGGAGCAGGCAAACGGCTGCAGCAGAAGCTGTTGGAGGAGGAGTGCGGGGTCTGGGGCCTTGCTGCAGCTGCCTCCTGGTGTTGAAAGCTCAGGAGATACCTCCCAGGTGTAGCCTGCGGGATACCTTGCCCATTCCTGCCTTTCTCCACCCCTTCCCTATTGCTCCGCTCAGCACTTTCATTTTCTGCTCAGCACTTTTCATTTTCTGCTCAATCTGTTCATTTCCCCCCCAGAGCTTCCCCTCAAAGGAGGTTACACAGAGGTGGGGAATGTGCACAGAGCGCTCCTCTGTGCTGCCCCTGGCTCACTCCTGCTCCCACCTCGGACTTGTACAAGCAGGCGAGAATGGAGGGATGGACACGTAGCTTCTGCCTCCTCAAACCTCCTCCACATTTCCCCATCTCATTCCATCTTCATGAAGTAGTTTTCCTCCCCGCCCCTTCCAAGCTCTACTGGGCAGATCCTTCTTTCCCCTTGGGCCTGGTGTGCAATCCCACTTCTTTAACAGTTTCCTTCAATACAAACCCATTTCAGGCCATGCTGAGGGGGCACTGGGGAATTCTGTCTTTCACCACCCAAACTGCTCTCGCTGTAGTTCCCAAGGGGAACTGGGAAGTGATTCCTGCTGCCCCTCAGATGTCAGAAGCTGCTTTCCTGAACCTCCCTGGGTCTGATGGGAGCGTGTGCCATGGCCCAGCTCCCTCCACCCCCGAGGTACAGACACATCCCCTGGTTTCCCAGCTATCCCTGGCTGCCCCTTGGGGAGTTCTACAGGACAGAAGTGGAGAAATGCAAATCAATCAATTAAAATTTATTTCTAAACCCATCCAGTGGCCTCAAAATCAAGAGTTTTCTCAGTTAAAAGTGTTTTCTCATTTACTCATAAAGAAGCACAAGGAAAAGTGTCGCAGGAGGCTGCAGCCTCTTTTGTCCAACACAAAAGCAGGTCATTTTCTCCTGGGCTCCAGGAAGTGGCACTTTTAACCCACAGGGAAGTAAGAGTAGTCCCAGTCCCAGCACAATCACACATCTGGGGTTTAAAACCACGCGTGAGCAGCTCCAGCCGTGGCTGAGCTGCTGCTGCTCTCCTCAAACGCTCTGCCTGGAGCCTTCCTCAGGGCCCTCTGCACCTGGTGTGAGGGTTTCCACCTGCATCACGTTGTGGTTCCCGATCTGAACCATTCGGGCGTTCTGGATGATGAGGGGTGGGATCCCTCCTGGACCTGGCAGCACGTTGTAGTGGCCTGATGGGGGCTGGTCAGGAGGAGACCCCATGCGAGCAGGCCCGAGGCCACCTCCAGCCGGGGACCACCACTGTCGGGGTGGTTGCTCCAGCAGCGGGGGCTGTGTTGCTGAGGGAGGGATGGAGCCAAGGTTGAGGGCGGCCACGTTCTGCAGCATTCGGTGCCGCTCCTCTCGCAGCTGGAGCTTCTTTCTCTGCAGCATGTCCCACGAGTCTTTCTTCTCATTGATCCTGCTGGTGGTGAAGGTGTTCTGCACCGTCTTGGAGAAGCCAGGAGATTTCTCATCCAAGGGTGTCAGCCCTCCAAGCACAGCAGGAATCTGACCCCACTCCAAGGGGTTCTCCTGGGGTATAAAAGGGATGACTGAGTCGCCCTTGGATGGATTCATGATGGACTCCATCAGAACAGTGTTTGTCTGAAACATGCAGAGGTCGCACGGGAAGTTCTTGGTCAGCAGAAGGATGATGAAAGCAGAGTTTTCCATAGCATCCTGGAAGCAAGTCATATGGCTGCGTCCAGCAATGGCAAAGTTCTCACAGAGCGTGGCACCATTGGGCACCCCCATGTTCTCCAGCAGGTCCTTGACCCGACGGGCAACAAGCTCATCTTCACTGGCATGCAGGACAACGAAAGTGAAGAACTTCCCACCATCCAGCCCCGGTGTGGGAGCTGGTTCCGCAGTTTGGAGAGGAGGAGGCCAGGCAGGAGACGGGGATGAATGGGAGCGCAGGGGATATGGTGAGCTGGAACGAGGTCCCTCAGGAGGGGGAAGAGTTGAGGCGAAGGAATAGGTAGGAGGAGGAGGAAGTGAACGGGTTGAAATGGAAGCAGATGCAGAGTTAGGAGGAATGCCTCCTGAAACGTGGGGCTCCTCCATGGACACGTGGGCAGGACCAGTGTCCACGGCAGCCCTTGAGGCAGGAAGCCCTGTAGATGGTTGCTTTTCACCTTGCTTTTTGTCTGTGTTTTCTTTCGGTGCCTGAGGTTTTGCTGCCACTGTGTTGGAGACATCGCTGCTTTCCCCAGGTTGGTTCACAGCACCCATCGTGGGCAGCTCCATGTCAGGAACTGGGACTGTCGGATGGCACGAACGGGCCTGTGGAGCATTCATTGCTCGGAAGACTTGGGCAGGCTGAGAGCTGGGGCCGGGGCCGGAGGCTTCCTGCAGGCCATGGCTCTGCCTGTCCCCGTCAGGCTGTTGTGCCCACTCTGGGCAGGAGGCCCGGCTGTGCAGAGCAGCTGTTGGTGATGCGCTGATCTCCAAGTGGCTGGGGAAAGAGAGGTTCTCCAAGGAGCTTTCCACAGAGTGCAGACTCTTTGGGCTTGAGAGGCGTGAGAGGTCTGAGTGGATTCCTATCTGCACCGGAGAACTCCTCACCATGTACTTTGGGGTGGCTGGAAGGAGAAATCCGGCTGCATCAGAACTCAGCATCTGCTCTTTGTCACCTGAGCCCACGCTGGCAGCAGGGCCGTGTTCTCCCTTGTCCCTGGGTGGAATGCTGTGGAGTGCTCCCGGCACTTCCTTGCTGGCGTTGCGGGCTTCTCTGGCAGCCTGGCAGGCCTTCTCCATGGCTTCAGGGCTGCACAGTTTCTCCTTCCCCAGCGCCGTGTAGATCTGTGCCAGAAGCTCCATGGCACCTGCATCTAGCTTGGGAGGCTGCAAATCCTCCCCATCTTTCTGTGCTCCTGCAGCACCCAGTGTGGTCTGGTGGACATACTGGGCTGCCCGGTTATCCCTCAAGACATCCAGACAAATCCTTGCCTTCGTTTCTTGCCCCAGAGCAAGCAGAATCATGGCTTGCAACAATTTGCTGCTGGGCCTGAATACCAAGTTCAGTTTATGTTTGAGGCTCAGGAGTTTTTCTGGAGGGACACGGGATAGAATACAAAGAACGTCCTCAAAGCTGGGCTGGAGCGGGGTGCTCTGCGCCATCTCCTCAGCTGGTGGCCTGGACCAGCGACCAAGGCAGCATGGATGGAATAGGGGTTTCCCAGCACCTGAAGGGTCGTTTCTCTCCGATGCTCTGGCCACACGGCACGTACTGCACGAGCAATGGCTCTGTGCTGCTCAGGAGCTCATCCCAGAACTGGGCGTCTCTGTCTTGAGGAACCTGTGAGGAGAACACAGGACAACGTCCAGAACTGGTGATGTGGGGAGCTGGGGGGATGCTCCAGCTCCCCCTCGCAGCTTTAAAGTACTTTTGCATCTCTCCAGCGCTTGCAGGTCTGCCGGAGCTCCACACGTTATCCCAAGCCTGTTACTAAGCCATGAGCACGTTCTCTGCGTTCCAGTCACATTAATTACAACCGCTTTGAACTAATTGCTGCACTAATAACGCGCTGGGGTAAATCCAAGCGTCTGTTCTCCTCCAGGCAGCCGGCTCCAGACTCCTTGCGATGGGCAGTGAGGAATGAAGCACGCCTAGAGGAAGCCCATTCAGACTCCTCCTGCCACGAGGGCTGTAACCCACGTGCATCCTCCTCCTGGCAGCCTCACGTCACTGTGGACTCTGCCTCTCCCTCTGTCCCCGAGCCCTGTTGAACCCTCGCACTCACCTGGCCTCTGCCCAGGGCGGAACGGACCGGCAGGACTCGTCCGGAGCGGGGCCGCGGGTGCCTGGAGGGTCCCCGCTCGCAGGCGCTCCCTGCGCCCGGCCGAGTCTTCCCTATTTAAAGGGGAGCGCAGCAGCCGCCCCAGAACCGCTGCGGACGGGGAAGTTTCCCGTTCCAAAGGGCGCTTTTCTCACAGAAATCCTCCCATTGCCCAATGCGGGAGCTCAGGCCGCGCGTGAGGAACCCGGGGGCTCTTCCCATGGAAACCTCCCGAGCCCTGAAACGGCCGCACGAGGCGAGGGCGGCCCCGGGAACCCCCCGCCCCCGGCACCTCGGGGCTGCGCTTCCGCCCCTTGACTCACCGCGGAGCCGGGTCCCGGTCCTCGCCCCTCGCTCCGTCCGCGCCCCCGGCCCGGCTCCGGGGGTGCCCTGTGCGGCGGGGCCGGCTCGCCCCGGTGCCCGGGCCGGGAGCGATGCGGGCGGCCGGAGCCGGCAGGAACACGAGGAAGCGGGGAGCTGCCACCTCCTCCCCCCCCGGAAGCTTTGCATCCGGAGAAGCGGCTCTGGCCTCTAGCGCTGGGCTGAGGCGTTACCGACCGAGCCCCAGGGTCCAACCCGGCCTCGAGCCCTGCAGGGATGGGGCAGCCGCAGCTTCTCTGGGCACCCTGTGCCAGCGCCTCAGCACCCTCACAGGGAAGAGCTTCTGCCTCAGAGCTCATCTCAGTCTCCCCTCGGGCAGGTTCAAGCCATTCCCCTTGGCCTGTCCCTACATCCCTATGAAGTGATTCATTAAATGCAAGCTCGCTCCCAACTCAGGCTAAGGGAGAACACAGCAATGCCCCTTTAGACACACACACACAGACGTGGGTAGTTCTTTGGACACAGGTCATGCTTTATTCTGATGTCTGCTTGCCCTTATTCCAGCCTTGGGACAGGCATTACCCAAATAAGTTACATTAGAAATGATTACAAAGCATTGTTCACTGGGAAAATATCCAGCACTTATCAGCCCTGTTTTAATAGCAGGATATCCTGGCATTGTGGCAGAGAGACTTCTTTATGGCTGCAAAACCTGCATGGAGTTACTCACAAACAGCTCATCCCTGAAGGCAAGATAGTCCCTTGCACATTGGCATGCTTGAAGGAAAATCCCACCTCGCTCAGTGGTTCTCTATGAAAGAAAGGGTTGGATCCATAAGGAAAAGTCCCTTTTTGAGGTGGCCTCTTCTGCCATCCGGGGCTGAGCCTCTCTGGAAGCACAAGAGGCAGAAAGGAAGGTAACCTGGAACGTGGATGTTTAAAACTTGCCAGAGGAGGTCAGGCCCAGCCTCCTCTAGAGCAGCTTGCCTGAATAAAACCCAAATCCAGCATTAAAACTAAGTGGAAATCACTGCTTCTCTCCCACAGCTTGTTTCAGCAAGAGCCACCCCTTCCCACGCACCTGGGCTGACTTCAGAAGCCAAAAGGACAGGGAGGGCCCCATCTTCCCTTTCAGGGCAGCAGCAGGGTTTACAAGGAATAGCAGATCAAGGTATGGAATCAGCCCACTTGGGTTTGAGTCTCCTTCCAAACTACATCTCACTGGAGGCTCAGCGAGGGAGCAGGAGGCACTTCTGGCACATGATTAAAAGACCAAGTGATGTTCTAGCCAGGGAGCCATGGCCACAGGAGCTGGAGTTCTTCAGAGATCCTCCTCTGGTGCTTTAGTTTTTACCTCCTTTGCAGCCAGTGCCACCTCTGCATCTTCCTCTGCCTTCTCTTCCAGCTTCTCCAGCACTTCACCCTCTTCCCCTAGGATCTCGTGTGCTCCCTTTGGTTCTTCCGGGGTCTCAGCCCCCTCCTTTGATGATGTGGCCTTTTCCAGCACAGGTGATTTTATTGGAGGCACCGAATCTTTCTTCTGCTGCTTTCTGCTCCCCTGTGACATGGTAGCTACTGCCCTGAAGGGCCCCACAACCCAGTTGAGAGGAGTGTTCTGGGTTACATACTCAAAGAGCACATCTAGGGACCTTCGGGCTTCTGCCACCCGGTCCTGGCTCCGGGTCAGGGTGGTGCTGGAGAGGTCCTGGAAAGACACAGCACTGGCAAAAGATCTGTGGAGCTTGTGGATATTTCGAGTGGCCTGATGCACAGCTGCTTGGATGTTGCTGGGCAGGCCTTGGATGCTGGCTTTCAGGTTCTCATAAATGGGTTGGAGCTGCTGGGTGATGATATGCAGCATAGTTAGAGTCCGTGACTCTACCTGATGGGAAAGAGATAGAGCTCAGTTACTAGAGCAGGTGAGATGCACCAAGAGGCCTGATTAAATGCCCCCTGTAGGGATACCTCTACTTGGGAGGCAGTTCTGACTTGGTTTCCTTTGGGTTGGGTGAGGCTCCAGTCCAGCCACAGCTGACAGAGCTTCTCCTGCCCATCCAGAAGCTTCTGGCCAACCTCCCCTTTCACAGACTCAATCTGATAGGAAAAATGAGAGGAAGAGCTGGACTGCAAGCACACACAGAGCAGCACCAGTGCTTCCCTCCCAGGGAGGGAGCCGAGGTGACATGCAGCTGGTGGAGCATGTAGGAAGAGCTTCCATCTGGCCAGCAGGGCAGGAAGGCTACAGACAGGAGGAAAGAGGGAAAGGCAGGTTTGTACCAGTTTTATTGCCAGCTGGAGCTGGGAGAGAGTCTCCTGGGTGCTTTGCCTGAGGCGCTGCAGTTTGTGCAGGGAGAGGTGGTAGGCTCGGCGCCGCACTTTGGTCGACAGGGAACCCAGGCGCACAAAGTAACTCTTGTTCTGCCTCTGCTCCTCCACAGGAGCCATCCCGGGTCCCTCAGACGTGGCCAGTTTACCTGGAGGAAACAAGAAGAGAGGTGTAGCTGTGCTCCACTTGCCCAGCTGGAGGGGAAGAGGTAAGATCACCCATTGAGAATCAGAATTGAGGCTGAAGCGTGCTGTGCAAACAGGCGAGGTCTGTTGTTGCTCAGATGTTAAAGGTATATGTTGGTCCCTGCTCAACATGCTCTCTTCAGATAAGCAGACTTTAGATAGGTTGAAGCATGTACCCACGGGTTTATTTGCCTTGAGGCTGATGGGCAAGGACCAGCGAAGCAAATGCTTGCTCTGTCCCATGCCACATGGAGCTACCTGGCTGCTTCAGAAGATGAGCCCTGCAGTGTCAGGTGCTCTCTAGTCAGCTGCTCAAGGACTTGCATTTACAGGCGCCAAGCAAGCGTTTTCTCACCTAGTTCCTCCTCTGTCATGGGGAGGTAGTTATCCACCAGGTCTTCTGACATACCCAGGACAGCTTCCACACCACCTCCCACTGCTTGGCTCACTGCCTTGGCTTTGCTTATGCTGTTGGTCACCACCGAGTTGGTCATTTCCACACCCTCCTGGAGGGCCTCTTTGCCCTGCTCCAGGGCTGTGTTGATTTTGCTGGTAATGGTGCCATATGCAGCATCCAGAGCTGTACTGACTGTGGAAGTGACCGCTGATTTGGTCTTCTCAACACTGTCTTGAACAGCCCCTTTGGTCAGGTCCATGGCTTCAGTCACCTTATTGGTCACTAGGTCCTTGGCACCCTGGGCAGCCTCTACAGCAGCACTAATAGTAGAAGCAACAGCAGACTTGGTCCGTCCAACACTGTCTTCTACCATGTGCTTACTGAGGTCCACTGCTTCGGTCACCTTGTTGGTCACTAGGTCCTTGGCACCCTGGGCAGCCTCCACAGCATTGACAATAGTAGAAGCTACAGCAGACTTGGTCCGTACAACACTGTCTTCCACAATATGCTTACTGAAGTCCACTGCCTCTGTCACCTTATTAGTCACAAGGTCCTTGGCACCCTCCACTGCTTCTGTCACCTTGTTCGTCACTAGGTCCTTAGCACCCTGGGCAGCCTCCACAGCACTGACAATAGTAGAAGCTACAGCAGACTTGGTCTGTTCAATGCTGTCCTCCACCATGTGTTTACTGAGGTCCACTGCTTCAGTCACCTTGGTGGTCACTAGGTCCTTGGCACCCTGGGCAGCCTCCACTGCTTCTGTTACCTTGGTGGTCACCTTGCTGGTCACTAGGTCCTTGGCACCCTGGGCAGCCTCCACAGCATTGACAATAGTAGAAGTTACAGCAGACTTGGTCTGTTCAATGCTGTCCTCCACCATGTGTTTACTGAGGTCCACTGCTTCAGTCACCTTGGTGGTCACCAGGTCCTTGGCACCCTGGGCAGCTTCCACTGCTTCAGTCACCTTGGTGGTCACCTTGTTGGTCACTAAGTCCTTGGCACCCTGGGCAGCCTCCACTGCTTCGGTCACCTTAGTGGTCACCTTGCTGGTCACTAGGTCCTTGGCACCCTGGGCAGCCTCCACAGCATTGACAATAGTGGAAGCCACAGCAGACTTGGTCTGTTCAATGCTGTCCTCCACCACGTGTTTTGTGAGGTCCACTGCTTCGGTCACCTTGGTGGTTACAAGGTCCTTGGCACCATGAGCAGCCTCCACCGCACTGTTAATAGTGGAAGTGACCACTGACCTGGTCAGCTTGACACTGTCCCCAACAGCATTTTTAGTGAGGTCCACAGCTTCAGTCACTTTATTGGCCATTGCTTCTCTTGCCTCGCAGGCAGCATCCATAGCAGATGTCACTTTGGTGGAAACCAGCTGCTTGGTGTCTGAGATTACCTGCAACAGTGAGAGGCAGAGAAAGTGACTTTGTTTTTCCCTGAAATAGGTTTTCCCTCCCTGAAGTAGCTTTCCCATATGGCTAAGTTGTGCTTGTAGCCTTGGGGGAGAGCAGGAAGTCTGTACACTGTATTTACATGGACATGCTGAAGGCATCTCTCCAGCTTTCATGAGCTCACAGTGCCTCCTCTAGCCCATCCCAGGGCCCGAGCTGACAAAGCAGTGCTGCTGAAGTTTCTTTCTGTATCCATAACAGTTCCATCAAGCAAGAGACAAGTCACAGCTTCCCATAAGGAAAAGCCTTTCCTTTACCTTATCTGCTGGCTGTTGAAGAAAAGGCAAGTTCTCCTCCAGCTGATCCAGTCCTTTACAGGCATATTCATTTACAAGTGCAACTAGAAAATACAACAGGTATTAGTTTATTCTTCAGTTGGGAGAGGGCCTTTTTACCCTACAATGGCCAATCCAGGATACTCATGAAAGCAAGTTCCTCCCCAGATAATCTTTCTGAGGTGGGTGGCTTGTTGGAAGAGTGAACAAACCCTACAGTTAGGCAGCTTTAAGTAGTCTCCATTTTGCCTTCTCAGCTTTGTCGCTATTGGCGGCACATTGCTCCAGTTGGAGTGCAATACTTGCCCTGGCAGGTGGGATTATCAGCCTAAAGGGTTGGGATGAGACAGACTGAACTATATCCAAGGCAGACACTGCTACTACCAGTTGGGATGCTCCTAGCTTAGAGAGATGAAGAGCAGGGAGGTTTTGGCTGGTGAACTAAAGGAACCACAGACAAGAGGCCAGTCTTTGTTGTGACCACTGAGCAGCTGGCAGCTGCCGAGTGGAAGACTCGGTGCTACAATCAACTAGAACAAGGTGCTATAGGAGGTAGACACCACCCAACAGACACATGAAGTTCCCCTCCCCACCTCCTCATCTGTGTAGAGAGGGTCACTCCTCACTTACTCTGCGGCTCCAGTTGGTTCAGGATGGGCTGTGCCCCCCCAACCACGCTACCTACTGCGACAGCAGCCACGGTCTCAGCCACACTGCAGACACCGCTGAGGCAAGGATGGGTCTCCTTGGTATAGTTGTAGGCAGATGAGACCAGGTTAAAAGCAGAGTTGAGCAAGGGCAAGCTGGTGACTCGATTGACAGCACTCTAAACCCCAAGAGAAATAAATGACATTAGAGACCCAGCCTCAAGCTGGGAGTGAATACAAGCCATGGGTCTATGCAGAAAGGTCCTAAGGAGATATCCAATTCATCTCCTCATCCTTCTTAAACTCGGAGTTGAAGAGACTCATCCAAAACCTGATAGCAAGGCAGTGACAAGCCAGGGTTAAAAGTTCGTGAGCTCTGGGCTCATGAATTCTGAGTCACTCCGAGTTTCAGCACCAAACCCAGATGTGGAAATAGGGCCTGTAACAGCTCATGTGTCAGAATTACTTGAGCAGGCCCTGAAGCTCTCTTGAGCTTCTGAGCCAACCGAGTTTAGATTTAGCCACAGCTCCATAGGGTTAATCTTTGTTTTGAGGTGCTGACAGGCATTAGCTCACCAGTGGGCCTCAGCAGGGAGTTTAACTGTTGCATGTTAGAGTTCTGTCTGCCCTGGCACCTACCCCTTGCTGCTGTTCCTCAGCCTTCAGCAGGTCCTTTTTTGTGGTCTTCTGTGATGCCATAGTGAACACAGCTGCAGCTGAAAGGAGAAACAAGAGTAGGACAGCATATTCATGTAGGACAAGGACTGTGCTCTGCCACCTCCCTCAATCCCCAAACAGCCAAATACTTTCAATAACCATCCCACTTATTTAACTGCTGATAACATTTATCTGGCTTCAAAGCAGCAGGTTAGAAGTGGGCGAGAACTCTTATCTGTCTTGCATTTTGTGTGTGGTGGATTCACCCTGTCTGGATGCCCACCAAGCTGCTCCTTGGAGAGCAAATGTAAGTGAGGAACCACTGGAGGTTGTCTCACTCGATTACTGTCCTTCTACGAGAGACTGACTGGAGATGCTGAAACAGCAGTGGGCTTCTTTCACCTTATTTCACCTTTGATGTTGATAGCCCCTCTCCTCTGGAGTATCCCTTGCAAAGGGCACTGAACCAAGAGTCATTTGGTGACCCCACTCTGCCTGTGTTCATGGTGGGGACCCTCTGGCACCTTCCCTACCACTACCAGCTCCAGCCAGAGGGGCAGATGCAGCGCGGGGAAGGACATGAAGATCCTTTGAAGCTTTCCTGGTGTTCTCCTCCTGCTGCCCAGTGAAGCAGGGAATCTCTCCTCACTTCCTGTGAAACCAAGCCTCAGCAGTGCTCTCATTACATCATGCCATAAAGAACATCAAGTATAAAAATGATGCAATATCTTCAGTGGGTATTGGCTTCCCCAGCACAGATTTAGGCTGGTATCTGGACACTCCAGTATCGGGTGATAATCCAGGATTGCTTCTCATCCTTAGCCAGGCACAGAAGGGATTTCAGCATATTTGCTCTGCAGTGCTTTTCTCTCCCGTGCCAGTGAAGCCCTATTCTTAGAACCGCTGTGGCATTTTCCAATGGAAAGCCCCCAAACCAAAATTCCTCACAAACTGGATTCCCAAGCCAAGCACTGCTCCAGGCTCTGCCCCCCAAAACTTGCCATCTGGTTCAGGAGGAGGCCATTGTCTTGCTTCTTGTGCTCTTTGCCTTGTGTAAGGGTTTTATTTTCCTGTGCAAACAGGAACAGAGAGCCGGGCAAGAAGTAGTGACACAAGCACTTTTCAGGCCTGGCCCTTGGCTGGAGCCTTCTCAGGAGGGCAAATCTTGCTGCTGCTGCGTGAAGCATGCAATTCATCAGTGTTTTAATGGGGCACCGAGTGCTCCGTGTCTGCAGCAAAGGGGTCCCAGGCACTGGGACCTCCAGCATCCCAAGGGAGAGGCTTTAACAGCCCTGCAGAAGCACAGCTTGAACTCCAGCAGCCTGGCTCCAAAGCAAAGCAGGGCTTGAACAGAGTCCCAAAGTCCACAGGCTTTGCTCACTCACTGCTTATTCCTCCTGCTCTGCTTTAGGGCAAGCTGCTTGGTGTTTGGGAAGCTGAGAAGGCTGAATCAGCCTGCAGCCCTGTCACGGGGCAAAGCACAGCTATTTCCACAGCACTGCAAACAGCCCCTTTGCTGAGTAAAACACTTCTAGAAGGGTGGGAGAAACTCAGCTGCAGAGCATCTTACTGGCCTTGGTGTCAGGCACACCACAGCCAAGAAAGGAGAGGACTCTGGCTGCAGCGTAAGTCAGAAGGAACTCCTCATCTGATGGAAAAACCAGTTTGAGGTTAGAACCAACCTCTGAAGTACTAGGAGCCTATCTTAATTATGGATGCAGCCGTGTCTGATAATCCTTGCAGCACAGTCATGTTAGGGCATGGTTTGCTCTCCTCCACGTAGGAGGGATGAGGTGTGTTGCAATGCCAGTATCTGTGGGGCAGGCAAATCTTCCTGAGCCCACAGCATGGTTTTAGTTTCTCTTTTCCCTGCAGAAGTGCTGAGCAGACCTCATTTTCCCTCTGAGCCTGTAGGAAAGCACAGTGCTGGGCACTTCTGGGTGAGCTGCTTCAGGATCCGTTGAAGGAAGGCACGATTTCAAGCCAGTTTCAAGGGGGAATCCCAACAGAGAGACCCCCCCAAGTGTGGGGGGAACCACCAGGCCAGAGAGCACAAACAGCATCGCTGTTTGCTTTGGATATAAATGACAAGCAGATGGTTTCATACCATTGCTACGTGAGAAATACTAGGTCACTACTGGAGAAAGCTGAAACAGGCAGTTTCAGCGAGATGAAACTTCAGCACCCATTTCTGGCACGGCAGAATAGCTCAGCTGCTGGTCCTTGCCCAGTTTGGCACCAGTCTGAACTGGGTGAACCAGCAAGAGCAGCAGGTCCGACTGTCACAGCCAGTGCCGCGCGTTAGCCTGGCAGCAGGACAAGTCCCTTCCTGCTGGGGCTTGGTTCCTGTCACCCTGACAATGACCATCGCGCACAAAACTACTCCTTTAGCTGGGGCAAGGCTTTGCTTTTCCATGAAGATCAGATGTGAGGGTGGGCTCTTGTTGTTTAGGAAGCTTTTCTTCCTTCCAGAAGTGTTTTACCTTGGGAAAACAGACTGGCCACGGCTGCATGCCTGCTCAATAGCTTAACTGGCAATTCCTTAATGATCCTTTAGGAAAACAAAGCTGAAGGAGTGCTTTGGCTATGAGCAGGGAGGGCTAATCAGGGCCCATTGGTGGTGAAAGCACTTATTTACATTCTTCTCGAGATTTGCCACTGATACCCCAGTTCCTAGAGCTGCGGAACAGTGAGGATGGCACTGCCCACAGCCCGGGGAGCCCTCTGGAGATGCTCTGAGGGCAGAGCTTGCTTTAGGAAGAGGATCAGATGATCTTCAGCCTTCACCTTAGGACATCCCTTTGGGAATTGCTGGCGGAGGTGCTCATCTGACCTGTCTGGAAAGCCATCGGCATTAGGGAACCTCAAAGATTAAAGCCACGCTTCCAAGAGAAATCAAGCACCGCAGCCAGTGGCTGCAGGTCAGTAACTCCTGGGGGCAGTTACCATCAGCTATCCAAGCTGCTAGAATTTGGAGATACTTCAGGAAAGAGGAAAGGGGGTTTCATTAAAACAGCTCCTCAGTACTTCCCATTCCCCATCTTTCCACAGAACACACCTCGGCTTCAGACAGAGGCTGTAACCTGCAGAGCAAGCAGCACGCTGCTCCAACACCCACTGCCATCTGCCCTTTCAGCAGGGCCAGCGTCAGTAATTGAAGCCCTTTGGAGCCATGCAGGTTTCAGGCAGTCACCAAGCCACACTGCAAACCTGGTTAGTCTTGAGGAGCACAAAGGCACTTTGCCAAGGGCTCCCTTCAGCAGGGAGCAGAGCCTCCATCTGCAGAGCAAGAGTCACCTTGTCACTCCAGCCACCCCCTTGGTGAGCACCATTATCATGCCTACACCTAAGGATCATGTGAAATAGCTCCAGGCAGGGCTGGAAGCATTGTCAACAGGAAGGGGATGCCCAAGTGATCAGCTGCCTCCTGCAGCACATACCACAGCATCACCACTGCTGATGGCCAGGGTATGCATCCTGCACTGGCTGGGGGGGAGAGCTGTCTCCAGTGCACCCTCACACAGCTTTGGTCCTCTTGTTTAAGAAGCAGAAAAGAGCTTTCAGGCCCAAAGCTGCTCGATCACAGCCACATGGCCTTATTGAAGAGTCTAGGAAGCCTTTAGAGAAGGCTCTGATGCCTTCCAGGCACAGCAGATACAGCATGACACCGTAAGATGTCACCTTTGGCCTCAGAAAGCCAAGACCCCCCACCCCCAGATGGGGAAAGCAGCAGAAACACAGCACACAGCCCTGTGCTTCCCCAGGGAGCTGGAGCAGCCCCTCAGCAGGGGCACATCAGCTTTAGTGCAGCCAGGAGCCAAGGGCTCTAGGATGGAGCCAGCTCCAAGCCCTGTCCGCACCCTCCATCCCTGGGGGGGCCGCAAAGAGCCACGCGGGGCAAGAGGCTGCAGAGCCCCTGGGTAAACAAGGGGCAGACCTGAGGGGTTCCCCCAGCCCTGACCCAAGCCCCAGCCCCAGCCCCACAACCACAGCCCCACAGCCCAGCCTTACCTGGCTCCTTGGCTCCCAGCACTGACAGCACAGGGAGTGCTGGACCTCGCCCGCATAAATACCCCCGGGGGCTGATGGGCAGCCGAGGGAGCCAATGGAGACGCTGCAGGTGCTGCCCCGGCCAATGGGGAGGGCAGGGCAGAGAGAGGGGCGGGAGCTGTGGGTGTGGGAGGCAGATGAGGGCCCCCCCAGGAAAGTGATGGTGATGGTGGGGGTGGTTGGTCCCCCCAAAGAGGACATCACTGCCGGGGTGTCCATCCCCAGGCACTGCAGGGCTATGCAATGGGGTCCTGCTGCCCCACAGCAACCATGGACAGGGAGGTGGTCTATGGGGATGTGAGTTGTGTTGTGAGGTGGGCTCAGCCCATGGCCCTGCAGGCACCGCTCCTGGTCCCATGCTCTGAGCTGGTGATGCTGCTTGCCACCATGGCAGCCCCAATGCTGCTGCCTTCTTCAGGACACTGAGAAAGGCTTGGCCAGAGAGCGAGCTGAGCCCAGGGCACTTGTCAGGACTGGCTCGTGAGTGGTGTGGTTGGGAAGCCCGTGCGCGGGTGCTGGAGCTCATCAGGACAGTGGCTGCTCCTCGCTGGCATCGCAGGGAGCATCAACAAGTGCCAGAGAAGCGGGACGTGGGCTCCGTGGTGTGGAAACCTCACTTGGCTCTGGTGTGCTCTTGGCAGAGCTCTCCTACCCTGCAGCACGGGTGCTGTAACTACCCGAGGAGCAGGGCGTGCGCTCCCGCTCTCAGCCCTCGCCTGGCTCCAGCAGATAAGCGATGGGGAAAGATGCTGCTGCTTTGCTGTGATTTTGAAGATAGGAGCCCCAGCAATGCAGGGCTCTGAGCAATAACACATAATTCACAGTTTAGTCAATGTTTTGCTTTTCCATTTGTGCTTTTCCATCTCCCGATCTCAAAATCTGGTTGGAAGCCATCAATTAAGCTTCCTGTTGTCTGTTCACAAGATCGGCGGGGGAGGAATCTGAGGCACGGGGAAGAACGATCTGAAGTCTTCTAGAGCCATTAAAGCGATTGAGTCACCTTGGTTTTGGCCAGTGAATGCAGGAGACCTCGGGTCTCATGTCTGTGACCCATGAAGGCAGAGCAGGAGCTGTCAGTGCTGTTGGTGACAGAAATGTAGACAATTCCCAGTGCTCAGCTTTGAGGCATGGAGCTGTTGGCTGGAAAGACTCTGGAGGTCAGGCAATCCATCCTGCTGCTTAAGAC